TTATCATTTTTGTTGTTTAATTAATTAATTAGTTAAAAAAAAAAAACCGCATCATGCACGCTGCAATTTTTTGCAGCGTGCCAAGCATAATTTCAGCAGCACCATCGAAGGGCTGGATGGAAGGCAAGGACAAACCCCTCATCAGCACCCTTCGTATGAGGGTTTAGGAACCTAGGAGTTCCATATAAAAGGCAACAGAGTGAGCAGCAGCCGACAGGGAGAAAATAGAGAGGATTGGCGGCTGAAAATCTGAAGAGGACCGAGAGATTGAGGGAGTTTTCAAGAGAGGTCTGAGAGCAAGAGAAAAAAAAAATAACGGGCTGGGAAAGGAGTCTGAAGAAGAGAGATAGCTACGGGAGTTTCTGAAAGAAGAAACCGAGAGCTAATAGGGAGTTTTTTGGGGAGCAAGAGTGAAGGAACGGCCGAAAGAAATTCTGGAAAGCTAGAGTGAGCATAGCAGCCGCAACCAAGGAAACTAAAAAAGAGAGAAAAGAGGGAGCTTTGGTAAGAAGAGGGCCACGGAGAGACGAAGGAGAACAAATGGAGGCGTTCGGCTGAACAAAAGAGAGAGAACCAAGAAAGCTTCGTGGAGGAGGAACCCAGATTTGAAGTTTCAGCAGAATTTCTGAGCCTCGTTCAGTGGTACCTGCGACTCGTTAGAAACACATCGCCTTCATTCGATCACGCTAACATCTTCAGGTAACTCTAGCTTTTCCTCTGGTTAGTTTTATACGATTCCTACGAGGATGCAAGCTTAGCAAACAAAGAGTTTGGGGTCATTTGCTGGGTTGTTTGTCGATGTGTGGTTTGGGATGTTCCCCATGTTGATTTGTGATTAAATTGGATTTTTTTGAATTAAGAGGACTTGGATGTTGTTGGGTTTTCATTAGCTTCTTATTTGGTTTCTGGATTGCATATTTGGTAGAGTTATTACCGAAAAATGAAAACTTGACAAAAGTTATCTGTTTTGCCTTGTGAATCTGGTGAGAAAGAGAAGGATTGTTGAATCTCTGATCTTTGTAGTGTTATGTGATGCTTTTGTTGGGTCGAGATTCTTGTGGGGGTTAGCTAATAGACTCGCATGTGGTCGGTTGAAATTGCAGCAAGTCTGCACGATGCTTGCTGTATGTTATGTCCGTTGTTTGTAGCTGTCGTCCTTTTGATCTGTTTGAGATTTTATTCAGTCGAAGGATGGGTTTGCAGAATTTGGTGTTCATAGGCAATACCAGTTCTGTGTGTATCTAGGCTCTTTGCTTCTACTTATTTTGGGTTCAGCTTTGGGTAAGGAGGGAAGTATTGAGTTTTGCAGAATGTTGAAACGATTCTTTGTGTTATCCTGCTTTTACGTTTTTTTTTTTCAGAAGTTCGGTTGGCTAGATTTGAATGCTCTTGCTCTCTAGTTTCTTATGTTCAGAAATAAAAAGAAAGTTTGTCTGTCTTGCTGTTTAATCTGAACGTTTGGTTAGCGGAGATGTTAGTTGCGTTAGGAGGGATTGAAATTGCATGTTTGAAAAGCCCAAACCTGTTATAAATAAAAGAAACCAGCAGAAATAAGGAAAGCTTCGTATGCCTGCATTTCTTTCCAAGTTTTTTTTTTACTTGTTTGAACGCCAAAGTCATGTGTTATGTGGTTTAATTTAGAACTTGGGGTGTGGGTATGAGAAAGTTTGATCAAAGTTGTAAAGATTATCGATGGCATGTTGGGAGAATGCTGCAGAACTTTGCCGAAAAAGCTTCTTGTACTGTTAAGTTCTGTTGCAGAAAGTTTGCTTCGTAGCTTGCATGAATTGCATGAAATAATTTCTAAAAATTGCTCTTTAACCCCCCAAGTCCCTTTTTGTTCTACTAAGGCCCAAGTAATTGGAACATTTAATCAATTTGATCCTTCTAAGTTTCTCTTTGTGCCACAAAAGCCCAAGCATGTTTTAGTATCTTGTAATTAAGTCCTAAAATCATTACAACTTCAATCATTGTCTTGGCTTTTTCTTTATTTTTTGGAATCTTTGAAGTGCTTAAACGATTTATTTGGACTTGAATGTTTGAGTAACGCTTGTTTTGGGTCTTTAGTAGATGTTATGCTTGGGGATTGGATGATCATGCCTTTTGCCTTGGTCTTTAAGTAGTTTTGACTTCATTGAGTTGCAATTGAGGGAAAGTTTGATGTTTTGGTGGATTCAAATTGTTTAGTTTATGTCTTATCACTAAATTGGTGCATTAATCTTTTGTTTTTGGTGATTTTAGCCTAAGTTAGTCTTTTCTTGGGTGACTCTAGCCAAGTTGAGTTTGTTTACTTCCTTAGTATCACCAACGGGGAGGTATAATCTCTTTTACCCCTTTTGTTTCTCTCCTATGTGGACTAATGTGCTATTTGAAATTTGCATGTCTACTTGCTTTCCTAGCCTCTCCTTATTTCCTTTCATTTATTTCATTTACTTTTGATTTTTATTAATGGGGTATGTGTACACCTCTTGGCTTGTAATAGATAGGGCGTAGCAAGTAATTTGGTCCATTTTCCCTTTCCCCTTTGTTTTAGTTAGCAAATGTAATGGTTGCATGCCTATGTGTTATATGTTAAATGCTTTATTAGGATCTTGCATCTAGTCAAGCATGATAAGTGCTACATGATTTAGGTGATTTGCATGTCTACTCGCTTTTTGTAGTATAGATGAATGGAATGGATGAATGTACGTCACCACACTAGTCCAACGCTAGTTGTGGTTCATCTTTTTCACCAATCTAATGATAGTAGGATGTCATAGAATGGGCTAGTCCAATGCTAGACCCAATAGGTTCTTTTTTCTTTTTTTCATTAAGTGCATGATCACCACATATCACGCATTTTTCCTTAGTTTATCATTTGGTATGTTCCTCAAACCCTTTCCCCTTCACTTTAGAACTTGCATCTCATGCTAGTTAGGGTTCATTTGCGTGAAAATCCCCTCTTGATAAGGGAAACGAGCGAGTGTGGCTACTCGATAGCCTTAGCACGCTAGTTTTACCTTCTAATCCGAAGGAAAATCAAAGTCGAAAATCAGGCGTCATCCCCGTACCCAATTTGTTGCATTCCCTTAGGGACATACTTTCATTCTTTCTCACTTCCATGCTCTTTTAATCACCCTTTTTCCCACATTTCTCAATCCATATTTTTCACTATGTTTTACTCATCTTACTCCACAAGTAGAATTCAAATTTCACATATATATTTATAATCCTATCTTCATTCATTTGCACACACTAATACTTTGAGTTTTCATCCAAATTCACACGTGCACTTTCTTTACACACTCATACACTAATACTTCACATGTGCACTTTCTTTACACACTCACACACTAATACTTTGATTTTTCATCCAAATTCACACGTGAACTTTCTTTACACATGCGCACACAAACACTTTATTTTTTTACACCATTTCATACATGAATCTTTTCATACACTTGCACACTTGCACTTGAGTCACCATTTGCATCAATCGACCTCTATGAGGTTTTCCTTTGTTGGCCGCCACAATTCATGTGGTTTGGGACCAAAAGCCTCACAAGAGACATCGTAGAATTTAGGATTGCATTTTCCTTTCCGTTTTGCATTCATATAGTCATATCCAACGTGCGATACATACATTGGGTAGAAGTTTAGGAAAGGTAAGGTTAAGTCGCGCAACTAGCCTTGGCTAGGTCAAAGGGGTGCCTTGGATTCTATCCTTGCCTTCCCCTTTGTCAAACGTGACTCCCGAACCTTTTTCTTTGGCTTACGTGGACTAGGAGTCGTTTTTAAAAGGGTTTTACTACTTTGTCTTTAAAAATTTATTTTTTAGGTGACTTGGTACACCTTAATCATTACCAAGTGGCGACTCCAATTTCTCATTCAAAAACCCTTTCTAAAAACTATTTTTTTTGGGTCAAATCGTCGCTTTCTTCAAGTCCCATATTAGACCCATACCTTTTTTCAACTCACAAAAATCATTTTCCAATCAAAATTGAATCACAAAAACATCTTTCTCAAACCATTTATTTTTCTTATCAAAAAATGGGGCGCGACATACCCTATAACTAGCATGAGGATGCAAAAACCTAAAATGAGGGGAAAAGGATTGGAGGAGCATGCCAAATGCTAAAAAACTAAGAAAAATGCATGAAATGTAGTGAAACATGCAAATGTGTACTAACAAGAAGAGATACCTAAGGGTCTAGTATTGGACTAGCCCATATCTATAAATTCCTACTAGTATTGGACTAGTGGAAAATCGGAATGAAGGGCCACAACTAGCGTTGGACTAGTGTGGTGACGGGAAAGGGGGGCCACGACTAGCGTTGGACTAGTGTGGTAACGTCACACATTCATTACAATCAAATAAACTCATGTAAAACCTAATAAAGCAAATAAACACATAAATCACATATAACACATAACACATAAGCATGGTATCTAGATGCAAGGCCCTAGGAAAGCAAGTAACACATAACACGTAGGCATGTAAAACACACATAAGACAAATAAAGCAAATAAAGCCCTAACTATTACATTTGGGGGAAGCCTACTACAATCTAAAAAGGGGAAATAAATAATAAATACCTAACTATTACAAATTTGGCATTCAAGTGCCTTTCAAATAATCAAAATTGAATTAAAATAAATATGCCAAATTAAAAATAAATAAATGAATAATTCAAAAGGCAAGCAATTAAGCATGTAAAGGCACATAAGGCACGTAGAGTCAAATAAAGTAAGAAATGAGGGATGAGGGAAAGGGTGTACCTCCCTTAAATTGGGGCTCCAATGAAGTGAAATTACTTATTTGCCCTCCACAATACAAAGAAAAGGTCAAGGCACCACTTTAATTGAGAAAAATTAAAAGAAATGCGCAAATACAAAGCTCACTTGATCATGAAGCCCCTAAAGTCATGACTTAAGTGCAATTGAAACAAAGCATAGTAGTTAATTAAAGCAAACAAGCAATGAAGTTGTAAAATTAAAACTACCAACGACCCAATTGAAGAGATTATTCAATTGATTGGGTCATAGCAGCATTGGTTGGAAACCAAGGGGTCGAAGTGAAATTATTGAAAGAGTTTCATGCAAATGCCATGCAAATGGTACGAGGAAGGCAACAGAAAGGAATGCTTGCTGCAAATTTCCAGCCACGGCTTTTCTTTCCATTTTCATCATGCAGACCAGATTTTCAATTCAAATGCACAGCTTTGATTAGATTTTCTTCAACCCAACATCCCAATTTTAAACTGAGCAACAAAAACTGCATGATGATCACAATCCAAATGACCAGAAACTTGGAAAGATATCATACGAAAATTCTGAAAAAAAAAATGCAGAAATGATTCAGCAACTTCGTGGTTTATTTTTCAGCAAATATCCGAACATGATTCAATGCTTTAGACCTCAAACATGTGAACTCAAAACATCTTGACATTTGCAAAGAAACATTTCAACGTTTACCCATCATCCAAGATTGCAACCAAAATGCGAAAAACAGTGTTACACTCAAAGCTATTGCCTATGAACCTCAACCTCTGCAAATCATTTGGAGTATCTAAAACTACCAGACAATGCCATTAATGGGAGTTCATTCAACAAGAACGCCAAACAAAAGAGCAGCAGAAAAGATGCCAAACAAACGGATGCCAAGCAAGCCCATCCGAATCTTTCAAAGAGAAAACTTTCATTTCTTTCATGAAAATAAACTGTCTTGACAAGCGTGGGCTGGCCGAATGTTAAAAACAGAAATTAATTTGTCTTTGAAGTTGAACCCTCGGTTGGGCATTTAATCGAGCAGCAAATGAGCAAAAGAAAAATCAATGATTCTTTGCTTAATTGAAGTCATAATCAGCCCAAAAATGAGTCAAAACCCACAAGATCCCAGTCTAATTAATATACAAAAACATGCCTATTCCACAATCATGTATAATCAGCATAAAATCGCAATAAGCAATTCTCTACTTTGGGAAACTTGAAGGCCCTGAGCTTAAGAAAGAAACAAAAAATTCTCAAGGAGGGAGAGGACTTACAGCACCTGCTCGACGAAGATTGGCAGATGATGGTGATGTATATCCGATGAGGACGGTGACGGCCTGGTGAGTTGGAAATCTCCGCTGCCATCACTGCTCAAGTCATCCCCGGAAGAGACGCAGGTGGAGAAGCAGTTGATAAGAGGCTCTGGCTGTGAAACTGCTGCGCTTGGGGCAGCTTCATTGAGTTTGAGTAGCTGGAAGTCGAAGTCTTGGGTGTCGAGGACTTCATGTTTTCTCTGATTTTGTCGGCCGAAGTCCCTTTCCAAATTTCCCCTCTTGCTCTGTTTTTCGTTGCTCTGCCGAAGCCTTTCTCCACTGCCCGCCATTCTTTTCGTTTTCTCTCTCAAATTCCTCCAACCTTTCTTGTTTTCTTCTTTTCGTTTTCTGATTCCCCCGCCGCCTCTGTTTTCTCTCAAGGCCGAAGCTCCCTCTCTTGCTCCCCTCGTTTCTTTCTTCTCATTTTTCAAGCTCCGCCGCCCTTTTTTCCCTTTTCTTTTTTTTGCTCCCCCCTTGAGCCATCAGCCGAGCTCTTTCTTTTTGTCGCCTCCCCCCTCTTGACTTGCGGCTCTTTCATCTTTAAAGGCACCTCAAAAAAACTCAACCTAATATGAAGGGCCAAGATTTTAAACCCCAAAGTAGGCTTATGTGTATGATTCTTGTCCCTTTGATTGACTTTTCCTCTTTTCTTTTTTTCTTTTTTTCTTTTTTTTTCTTTTCCCTTTTTTCTTCTTTCTTTTCTTTCCGAAAATTTTAGTGCAAAAAAAAAAACCCTTAACTCAATTAAAATAAAACAAGGGACACGAATCAAAATAAAAATAAAAATAAAAATCTAAAATCGAAACAAATTGAATAAAGTTTAAAATCAAAATTTGGTGTCTACAGATTTGTAGCTCCTTTGGTAGCTTAAGATGATCACCAAGTACTTAGCAAAGTGTGGTTAAATTTTGAGGTGATTTGGTGAAGGATTGAAGCAAGATTTGATGAAGAAAATGGAAGAGTTTCTTGGTCACTTTTTGTTCTTGATGGCTGGCTGTTTTGGTGTGAAGAGAGAGAGTGTGTGATGCAAATAAAGCTTCCAAGAGAAGCTAAAATGTGTGGGTCAAAATTGAGCAAAAGTCAACTCGCGCGTTTTGTGCTCGATTCCTCTCGAGTTTGTTTTACTAGTGCACTAAATCTCTAATGCACTTGTATTCATACTATTATTATTCACTCTCAATAGTCTAACAATAAAGGTCGAAAGTCCCTCAATTATTCGCGTGCGTGAAAACGCGTACCTCCGATTTTCGTGCGATAAGGTGGAATTTTCAAGAAATTCTTATAATGGTAGTATCACTAACTAATAATTGAGCACTTAAATATAAAAATACCTATTTCAAGACTAATGTGCAAGTCTCCCATTTTCCAAACTTATTGTATTCTCGAATCGATTATTGACTCCAATCGCATAATCACTATTCCCACTTAACGAGCTTTCAAAAATTAAATTTTGAAACAAGTTACTTTAAAAATATAACTAAGCTATAAATCCATATAATTAGGTCTAAAGAGGTTAGAAAATAATATTCGGGGTAAATGGCCAAGTAAATAATTAAATGAGCTAGTAATTGGAGTTTAAAATAGGTAAATTTTTGCGAGTCCTCACATGAGTTGAGTATTAATTTCTCAATTAACCTTTCTTAATCTACTATTGATCATTCTTAACTCTCTAATATTAATACACTCCCGATTCAAGTATAGCCTCGAAAAATGTGCACTCGTTGTTCCTAACTAAACGAATTTTTGAAAAGTGAATTTTTTCAACAAAACGCTTTAAAAATATGAAAGAGGCGTCGTTCTATATAAATGGATTTTAAATGATCGAAATAAATAATTCGAAGAAAATAAGTAAATAAATATTTAAGTGAACTAGTAAAAGAAAATGTACGTGATCAAGTGGTAATCATAAAACCTCTTGGCCATCCTTTTAGAAGGGATTTAATCTTCAAGTTGAATACCCAGAAGTTGGATATTGCATGTACTTGTTATGAGCTAAAATGAACTGTTTACATTCTTACTACTTCTTATGTACGATTATGGATGGTGTGAAATATAATTTGCCATTGCCACTCATTAATATTGTATGTTACCAGTTTAACATTATTTGAATAATCTTGCATGGGATGTATGTGAAAATGATTTGATATATGTAATGCTATAGTTATATGGTCCAGCAGAGATGTAGTTACTGTCTACTGAGTGAACAACGCTCAACCCATTTTCACCACTTTTGCATGTTTTGGAGATTAAGAGTTAGTGTATATCAAAGACTCTGAAGATGATTTCTACTAGATCCTTATTGGATAGGAGATAGCAAGTACGGTAGTACTTCATTATTTTGTAATAATGGATTCTTGTAGATGTTAGCGTTATTAGATATGGAGCATATGGTCTCCTTAGTTAATTATAGGATGTTTCTAGTTTTAAATTTGTACCACTACTATACTAAGATTTATGAATGCTAGTATATTTAGTTAGTTTTCCTAATTTTATGTTGTCATGTATTCTAAGAGTGAGACTTGAGCATACAGCAGATGTCTTGCGATGAGCATGTGCAGGCTTGGGATATGACAGATATTCACTGACAATACTAAAATCATCACAAAATTACTATTTTGTGATGATTCCACTGTCACGGATGGGCGAGAGATTTTGTCATTAATGTTTTAAAAGTTATCACAGATTTAAATTTATACTGCCTGCGACGAGTTGGGTTGTTGCTTATTTCCTGTTCTTGTAATGACGAGGCACAACTGTGAAAGGATGCTTTCAAATGTTCACTTATTTCCTCTTGATGTAGTGACAAGCCACTGTTGTCATTGGATAAATTTGAATATTCTGACAACATAACCCAGTCACTGAACTTTGTTTGATAAGCCAACTCTTGCCATTGCCATAAGCTGGCCATTTCCAACAACTAGAGCTATCTTAAACATTGACTACTATAAAAAGCAATAAGGATCCAATGCACAATGGATTTCTGAACATATATGGTCATAACTATATAACATCCATTTCAAGATACATCATAAAAAATTAATTAAATCACCAATATAAATTCAGCTACATATTAGTCATAATACCATTCTACTAAGTCCAAAATAGAGCATTAGATGGTATCTCAACAAAAGCAAGCATATATACACACCATAGGTGTCTTCCCAGTTATGTCAAAAAACTGGTGTCCAAAAGCTAATGTCTTCATCTCTTGACCACTGTTAATAGCCAAATGCTGCATTTATACAACATATCACATTGATTACAAATGGACAGAATTGATAAAAGTTTAAAAAAAATTCCTCAAATTAGTTTGCAAACACAATTGGAATTGAAGGTAACTTAAGTATGGTAGTTGAAGCTTCAGTTATTCCTATATAGCCCATTTCATAAACATGCAAGCATAACTAGGAAAATGGATGAATTATTATGGATGAGTAAACAACTTCAAGTGCTTTGGGTAATTAGTTCACTCAACTACGGAAACAAATGTCCAATTATCAACCTTTATAGAGATGCAAATTTAGGCCATGCAAAAGAAGCAAACACAGATTTTGGACTGGAACTAAATGAACATGGGAAGTTGGGGCACAAGAAGGATGATAAATTGTCCAAAGAGTGAGAACCAGAATCAAGAAATCACCAGAAAATATATACCACAGAACAAACAGAATCGATAATGGATATGCAAAATATTCGATTACCCTTACATTTACAATAAATCAGCATCATTCGCGCAACTCCTTCATTTGTGCAACCAACTCTTTGGATAACCCTCTTGTTTCCATTTGTTGCTCTTGCAAGTTCTTGATCAACTAGCACCATACTTAATAGGATATCTCAAACATTGCAATCTTTAACAAATACCCCAAAAATTAATAAAATAGACGGAGGAATTATACATGAAAAAGTAACATCAGAAGAATCAGAATCTTTAGGAGAATCTTCAAAGGAAATAGATATGATAACTCCAATAGAACAACAATTTTAGGAAGAAGAAGATAATCAAATAAATAGAATAAACGAAGAAAGAATTATTCAAACAAGAAAGACAGGAAAATTATAGATACAAGAAATTATTACACTAGATCAAGTCCTCCTGATATTCAATATGAAGAAATATCAAAATTTCATACTACAAAATATGATGGAGAATCGATATATAAATGGAATATAGATGGAAGAGTAGAATATAAAGTATTAAATATAATGATCTTGATCCCTGTCTTTTGATGTTTACAAAATAATTGGATAATACTAATATCTTTTCAATAAGAAATCCTTTCAGCTCTGAAGCAATTTGATTCAAAAATCAAGAGTAATTGAAAGAAGATAAAGGTAGACGAAAGCTGTTGGACGCTCACAAAGACAGTGCCGAACGTCCGATAAATAGTGCAAATCATATTGAATGCAGAACAATTTCACCGGACGTCCAAAAGAGTTGAAATAATTTTTCAAATTCTCTATCTGTTTTCGGACGCACGAAGAACTCTATCATCGAACGTCCGAAAGAAGATCAATTTGATTCAAAGATCAAGAGTAATTGAAAGAAGATAAAGGTAGAGGAAAGCTGTCGGACACTCACAAAGACAATGCCAGATGTCCGATAAACAGTATAGATCATATCGGATGCAGAACATCTTCACCGGACGTCTGAAAGAATAAATAATCATTCAAACTCTCTGTCTACTTTTGGATGCAAGCATCGGAGATACCGGACGTCCAAAAGAATTGAAAAAGATTTTTCAAACTCTCTGCCCGCTTTTGAATGCAAGCATCGGAAGTACCGGACGTCTGATACTCCCAACGGCTAGTTGACTCTTCAACTACCTTCTATCCATTGAAAATATTAGTGAAACATTTTTTGGTCTCATATAAATAGTGTATGGATAGAAATTTAAAAAGAACTTTTGCACATTGAGAATATAAGAGATTAATAGTAGTTTTAGTGAGAAATACTCTCCAAGGAACATTTGTACTCTTTGTGGTGTAAGATTCGTGTAAATTTTTATTTGTCAGAAAATACTTCAATAGTATAGGTTTGTAAGGGTTATCCTGAGGGATTGTAAAACTTCCTAATTTGATCGAGTGTAACTTGGGACAAGGAGGAAGTGAGTCTTCCTTTGTACATAAGATTAGTTGTATTTCATCAACTTGAAGAAACTTATTTTGTGAATTGATCTTCAAACTCAAGAGAAGTTTGGTAGTCAATTGGTTTGCAATTTTTCTCTTTTTATTTATCATCTTGTGAACCTTAATTGTTTATCTCTTCTACTCTCAAGTGATATTGTTCTTTTATTGATTGATTCATTGTGTGATCATTTAGAAAAGAGGATAAATTTCATATTGAGTAAAAAGTACCATTTAACTTGATTAGTTTTTTAATCAACGTAATTTACCCCTCTCTTAGGTTATTTTTGGGCCTAACAATTGGTATCAGAACTTGGTCTTCTAGAGATTAAGCTCAAGTGGCTTAGGAGTAAAGATGACAACC